TCTGGGAACTTAACCATTCAACTATAGACTCGACCTTCCTCCTCTGCTGTTCCAGCGGTCATGTGCCTAATTTTGAATAAAAGGGCATTGAATGAAAGCCAGTAAGCCATTTCCAATTCCCGGTTCGGGAAAATTCCCTTGGACAGAGAGGCAGCTCAGTGATGGGAGCAACTTGGCACTCTGGCGGTTTAGCACCCACATGGCTCTTTTTAGCTGCCTAGAGCGGTAGCTCCAGGAGATCTGCGGCCCAGATCTGGCCCGTGGGCACTGCGCTCGTGCACGTACATGTAATCAACAGGCGTGGGCACTGCGCTCGTGCACGTACATGTAATCAACAGGGTTTACTCCAGCGCAGTGAGGAAGGCTTGGTGGTAGCAGCATGAAGTGGCTGGGCACTGTGCATCCACAGTTAGGAAGCCGACGGTGACAGGAAGTGGGACATTTCTATCAGACCCCAAGGCTGGCTTCTTGTAGTGATGCATTGTTTATGATTTAATAAAGCTTGCCTGGGGAATCAGAATACTAAGTCAGCCCCACTAGTCAGCCATAGAAGCTGGGCAGTGGTGGTGCACAGCTTTAATCCGGGGACTCAGAAGACGGAGGCGGATGGATCTCTCTGAGTTCAAGGCCACCCAGGGCTACATGAGAGTGAATCAGTCTAAAAGAGAAACAGAGCTCACGCCTTCAATCCAAGCACTAGAGAGGAATATAAGGAAGAAGCAAAGGGTCTCATGTGGCAGTTAGTCTCCAGCCATGCTAAGGAGAGCAGGGCAGTCTAGGACTCTGAGGCTTGGTGGAGAGCGGTGCAGTGTGGAGACGCAGTGTGAGGTTGGGTGGGTCACCCCTTAGATCTGACCATTGGTAGAGGTGAGAACTCTCTGGTGGCTTGGCTGCTTTGCTTTTCTGACCTTCAGCTTGAACCCCAATATCTGTCTCTGGGTTTTTGTTATTCCTTCTCCATCTAGTGACCTATTTCCTCCTATAGGCTCCACCTTCTGAAGTAGTGGTCCGCCACCTTCCTAATGCCGTGACCCTTTAATACAGTTCCTTATATTGTGGTGAACCCAACCATAAAGTTATTTTTGTTGATAGTTCATAAATGTAATTTTGCCACTGTTATGAATCATAATATGGATATCTGATACGTTAACCATGTGACAGGGTCATTCCACTCCCAATGCGGTCGTGATCTACAGGTTGAGAAACACAACCTTCCAACCCTAGCTAGGGACCAAGTGTTCAAACTCGTGAGCCTATGGTGGCTGTTTCACATCCGAGCCACTACATGGGGGAAAGGGGTGACAGGTGAAAAATAGCCATGGATTCGCCATTAGTGAGCAAGGGATGAGCGTGTAGGATTCATTACAGGGTTACTGTCTGATGGGAGATGTCATTCTGTATATATGTTTCTCATTCTGGTTAATGAATAAAGACTGTTGGCCAATAGGAAAGGAAGATAGGAGGGACTAGGAGACAAGGAGGAAAGAGGAAGTAGTAAGGGGAGAGAAGATGGAGAGCTGGGAGAGAACAGAACCGCCATTCCTCCGCTCTGGGTAAGACCATGTGGAAATACATAGAAATGGGTTAATACTTAAGACAGAGCTAGCCGATAAGCAACTAGTAATGGGCCAAAAGATTATATCAAATACAGAGTCTCGGTGTGCATTATTTGGGGCTTGCGTGGCGGCGGGACAAGATTGGCGGCGGGAGGAAAAACCCATACTTTTTACAACTGTCACTATTGTGTTTTGCACTGTTGAACTTTTCTGTAACAAAGGGTTAAAAAGAGGAGGGAGTTCACCTAAAGGAATACGATTTTTTTTTATGATTTTCAAAAGGAATCCAGACACACGATAACTTTATATTGAGTAACCACACTATGTCTATCATTTAAATGGTAGACGTGTTTAAGTATTGGTTGTTTTCCTTGCTTGCTAAATGATTGTTCCAGGGCCTGGAGAGATGGTTCAGCAGTAAAGAGCACTGGCTGTTCTTGCAGAGGACCTGGGGTCAGCTCCTAGCACTCACATTAAGGTCTCCCAACCATCCAGTTCCAGGGGATCTGAAGACCCCCTCTGGCCTCTTTGGGAAATGCACACATAGAGAGAATTGCTGTGAGTCTAAGGCCAGCTTGGGCTGGCTACATAGTGAATACCAGGCCAGCATGGGCTACAAAGTAAGAGTTTGTAATACATACATACATACATACACACACACACTACAGAAACCAATCAACCAATCAACCAAACACACACACACACACCAAAAATACAAAAACAAAAATCCCTCCCCAAAGAACAGAGAAGTCAATGTAATTGAAAGTGGACATGATTTCATATAGTGGTTTATAGGAAGGGATTTCATTTTTATCTTGAAAAAAATGGAAAAACATTGGAGGCTTTTAAGAAGTATAGTATAACATGATTTAGGACTTCACAAAGTATGGCTGTTGGATGAAGCTTTGAGTGGAAAGAAAAACTGTAAATATTGATTATAAAATAGTACTTAAACTTAATATAGAAATAAAATTTTATATGTGTATATAAAGGTATACACATATAGAAAGAGAGAAAATACAAATAGTGTGTGTGTGCATGCTTGCACGCAAATGTACACAAGCACACTCCCACACACACGGGGTCTAGAGAACACCCTTGAATGTGCTTGCTTCCTAAGTCAAGGGTCTCTGACTGATCTAGAACTCAGCAAGTATGTTAGTGGGGCTGGCCAGTGAGTCTGGAATCTCCCCACTCTACCTCCAGCACTCTGGGATTACAAGAGAGTGTCACCACGTGAGACTTTTAAATATGCTTTCTGGGGGATTGAACCTAGATCCTCAAGCTCTTTACAGACATAGCTGTCACGGTCCATGGCATTCTTGTTGTCTACAAACAGGTATTGCTCTCTAAATCACTAATGCAGTAATTTTTTTTTTAATTAGCAAAAATAGGTCATAGGGTCTTGTCAATTCTAAAAGGTTTTCAGAATTTTACAGGTTGTTTTGATACCACTTGTGGTTGTCATTAGCTAAATACAATAACATTCTAAGTCATGACCTTCCGTTGACTACCCATCACCGTGGTGTTCATTAGGTCCTTGGTATCCAGCAACCAGAACTGCCCATGTTCTGGTTCTAGGTCATTCTGCATCACGTGGACTCAGAAATCTTACACCACTCCCTCACTGACTGTGTCTAACACTTCCTACAGCGGGAACATTGCAGTTTTCCTGAAGAGGAGGCAACACTGTACCTGATCCTGTGGCCAATGTGGCAGCTGCCTGCTGGGTTTGCTTAGCTGCCTTGGGATATCAGGATGCTGGAACTTTCTAAGAACAGCTACAGAGTAGCAATTGCTGTTTCTTGAAGACAGTTTTTTCTTCAGTGATTTATAAGGGAATGCCTCAATGTTTCAAAAATTGACAGACCTATATGGGTACACCCTGTGGGAAGCAGCTCTCAGTGGAGCAGGAGACAGGTGTGGAAAGAGACAGTTGTACTCTGACTATATAATGAATGTGCATATTTGCTAGAGAATGGCATGGGTAAAGCTACTGAGTATGATCCCCAGGTGTTGGTCTAAATGATTAGAAGACAGGGAAGAGGAAAATGGGGTTTTTGTTTGTTGTTTGTTTTTTGGACTGGGAATAAAGCATTGTGTTTGTGTGTGTGTGTGTGTGTGTGTGTGTGTGTGTGTGTGGCGGGGGGTTGTTGTTAATTTCCTTTCCTTTTTTGGGGGGTGTGTTGTCCAGGATGGCCTCAGACTTGATCTGTAGCTGAGGATGACTTGAACTTATGATTCTCCTGCCCCACCATACTTGGTTTATGCTGTGAGGTACTGGGAACTAAACCCGGAGTGTTGCCCATGCTGGGTGAGCACTCACCACCCGAGGCATATCCCCACACCTGAAGGAAGCATTGTTTTCTAAAGACACAAGAGTGTTTGAGTGTTTTATTAAATGGGCAAGCAGAGCTTCAAGTACCTGTTTGATCTGTGAGACTGGAGTTCTGAGTCTGAAAATTTTTACGAATAATTTACTTAACCCGACAGTTGCTGTTCACCCAGCCAGAGCTGTGAGTCTTTTAAGATCAGAGTCTTCTTCTAACATATTCACGATGACCCGTGTGGTTTCATCGTGCTTGGGTGGAAGATCTCATTTTAGCCAAGTGACACAATGCTCAGCCAGGCAGGCCATCTGCCTGACTTCAGAGACTGCTAGGAAGAAAGCACAGACAAGAGGGAGGAGATTCAGAGATAAAAAGCTCAGGTTTCCATGACATCTCACACTCAGAAAGAAATATCAAAAGAGCATTGTCAAAACAAAAGTCAAACAAACCCCAAAAAACAAAACCCAAAAGAACCCTGTAATTCTCTTTGGCCACAGGTCTGAGAATGGATTCTTAGAAGACACTGTTGCCACTATGTGGCCACACCCCTCTAAAAATGTCTCTGGGGGGGTATTTTGAGATGATTTTGTGTAAGAGGACTCACAAAACCACACGGCGAGAATAAAGGAAATGTTTTAATAGAGCATTCAATACAGCTTTTCTTGGTGAAAGAGCTCTTAGAAGTAGAAAACTGAGCAATGATTTGTACAAGAGCTAGGACCCAGTTTTTCTGTGTACCCTTGTCCAGTTCCACCCAACAGACAGTCAAGAGAAGCCAAAATACAGCATTAGTGAGTGACCAAACACTGCTTAGAGAGAGGGATCTGAAAGGTTTGCTTTGTGCCTCCTATCACACGGGGCATCACGGGGAGGAACACGGTCGGGGTATAAAAGGTGCTTAATGCGATTGGAGATGCCCCTTCCTATTCTATCTGCAGTAGTAGAGTGAGCAACCAAACAGAATAGCCAGTGATCTCACCTATTACACGTTTCAGACAGACCAACCCTAAACTGTGTTTAAAAATGAGAGACGAGTATCTCCCAATTCCTGTACTTTAGCATGTAACAGTGACCGTTCTGTGTGCGAAACAAATGTGAGCCTCGAGTCTTCTGCTTTGTGTGCTATTATTTATTAATAAAGGAAGCTTTATTTCTTGAATATGAACATTTTTCGGTGCATCAAAATATGAATACTGTGTTCCAACCTTGTCTTGGTGGCCAGTCCAACATTCAGTCATCAGAACTCAGGGTGACAGTGTCGGGTCATCCTGCAGTCATGATTCCGATGGGCACTGGTTTCCTTCTGGAGTCATGAACTGCACCTTAGGCACCATGAGGGAAGAGTTATTCCTTCGGATGGAGTTGCTTCTCCTCATGGAGTTGTTTCTCCTCATGGAGTTGCGCTTCCTCAGAGAATTCTGGTGTGATAGTTCACTCTTTTGGAGGGTCTGAATCAGGATGGAAGGCTTCTCATCCAGCTCCCGGGCACTGCATCTGGGGGCAGCCACCTTCACAGTATTTCCAAATTTAGAATAGTCCACAGAGTATACTCCCTCCTCCTCGGTCACAATGGACACGAAGCGGTGCCCCCACTGGATCTCCTCGGCAATGTAGGAGGTCCTTGCTTGTGTGGTGATGCCGGTGGTTTCCACCACACCCTCAAGAATCACTATGACCTCCAGGTCCTGATTAACAAGGTCAGTTGCTGAGATATCGTACAGGGGGCTGCGCTTATCAATCACGTGGCAGATGATCAAAGGGGCTACCAGGAAGATGTTGTTGCTCTCAATGGGATTGTCCACCGGAATGTCTAGCTGGTGAATCGGGACCACCTCCCCTTCTGGCGTCGTCGTTTTCTTGACTACCTGGATGCGCACCGAGGCACTAATGATCATGCTCTTCCTCAGGTCACCCACCCGAAACATGAAGCACAGCTTGCCGTTGCGGACTGCGATCACAGCGTGGCGGCTGAAAATCAGAGTCTCCGCCCTTCTGTGGGCTTGAGCCGTTTTCATGAAGATGCAGCCCAACATGACCGCGTTGATGATCAGGCCCACGATGTTCTGCAGAATCAAAACGGTGATGGCCAGAGGGCACTCCTCCGTCATCATCCTCCCCCCAAATCCAATGGTCACTTGAACTTCGATGGAGAACAGGAACGCAGACGTGAATGATCTGCAGGTAATGACGGCAGAAACAGTGCCAGGTCAGGGTGCTGCGCATGGTGGAAACAGCCCAGGGGGGAGCTTTGCTCTCCGCTAGCCAGGTAAGTCACTCTGGAAAGACTAATTCTAAATGCAAGCTTCCTCTGCCCCCCCACACCCCTCCGCACCCTCCCTTTCCATTCCCCCTACCCACCCCCTCCCAGCATCCTTTCTCCTCCCCTACTACTTTACACCAACGTATGTAGCTCCAGATTTGGGGATACAATTTCACTAACATTTCATAGGTCATGCCCCATGAAGAGTCATTCATTAAAAAACAAATAAATAGTGTAGATTATTCCATTTTCACCATAACCCAACTTACAATGTAAAATTTTGTGTCAGGTAGTGTTGTTCTTTTGTTACAGTTATAGGAATAAAGCTGGAGAAGGGGGGAGGTGGTCCCGTGTGGGGGTCCCAAGTGAGTGGGGTCCAAAGGTAAGGGGCCACATGGGAGAGCTTAGCAGGTGAGGGTGACCGAGAAGGAGGGAATAACACGCCAGGCAGACAGAGCTTGAGTGAGGAGTTTATTTAGAAAGGGGAGTGAGGGGGAAGGGAAGAGACACAGAGACACCGGGAACAGAAGAGGAGAGAGAGAGAGAGAGAGAGAGAGAGAGAGAGAGAGAGAGAGAGAGAGAGAGAGAGAGAGAGAAGATCTGGAAGGCAAAAGAGCTTAAAAGAGAAATGGACAGGGGTCTGACTTTTAAAGGGTCCTTTGCACCTGTCTGCAGACTAGTAGTCATGGAACCCTGGGCTGACCAGGGTACTGCCTGAGTGCATTCTGCCAGGTGACAGGGGCAGGCCAGCGCAATGCTTGACTCCTTACAGGTAGGTGTTTCTTATTAATCACCTATTGATATTTAAGACATTTGAGTCATATGGAAGGTTCTGAGTAATTAGTGAAGTTTTCATTATTTATAACTTATAAAATGATAATCATCATCCTGTGATTAATTGTTCTGTTTACATAACTTAGGACAGTGCTAAGGTATAGTATAACATATACTATCCCCGAACATTAATATTTTAATAAGGAGAATGATTTCTCCATTGAGAGGAAGAGCAGTTTCTCACTGATTAGCTCCTTTTGTTTTCTAAGTGATCCAGAGAATGTTCTAAAAGAGTTGCAAGTGTCAGTTTGTAAATGACTATGTCTGTGTAATGATGACCTCCCTGAGTCCTGTCAGTTCTGGCCTGGCATCCTCAAAGAGGCAAGGGGAAGGTGCCAACAGGTGTCAGGATTTTTGGGGGCATTTTTTTTGTTTGTTTTTGTTTGTGTGGCTTTACATCTCCTCCCCATCTTAGTGAAAGGACAAGGGTTCGTGGTTCCTCAGGGACCCGAGTCTCTCAGGGAGACTCCTGAGTAACTCTGCTTAACCTCTGGCTGAGAAGCATCACACTTGGTTATTAGCAAATTATTCACTTGGCTGCATACCCAGTATCGCCTTGGCTTCTTCACAGCTCCTATCCCTGCCACTCACCCCGATTCCAGAGTTCTCCAATTTCATAGAAGAGAAGCCATACATAAGCAGGCTGTCCAAATATTACCTGGGAATGCCAGGCACAAGGTGTACACAGAACATTTGCAGTTTGAGCACTCTGCATGTTCTGCACTTTGGCAGGAGGCCAGGAGAGCGTGAGTCCACACTCACCCATCAGCTGTTCAGGGGGATTGGAAGGGGAGAAAGGGTTTGTGCAAAACTCCAAGAACTGATGTCTGCCCCACCTGCTAAATGATTTCTTTTTCATAGATAGTGACTATAAATTGTCTTGAGTAAAATTAGTGTATTTTTCCATGTCGCTATGATTCTTTTCTTCCAGTCCCCCTTGTCAGTATCTCTTGCCTGTTTACTGGAAACTTGTTTGACTGTCACACCCTCAGCAGCCACATGGATGCCAGTAAGTCACCCGGAGACAGTGCATTACAGTCACGTATTAACTTCAAAGGCTCTACACACAGGACTCTGTTCTCTGAATCTCCAGTGCTCTGTTCACAGGGGCTTCTTACCCACATTGCCACAGAGGCAAGCTTGAGAAAAGAAAATTCTCCCTGCCCAGCGTTAGAGCTGTGGACCAGTCTATTGGTGCATCGCCCTCTCCCCAAATCTGAGGTGGGATCTCTGTGTGGTCTAAGGTGACCTCCTGTTGACTGCAGGCTTGGTCATAGGGAAAAGTGGGTAAGGTCATGAGAGATTCTGCTTCCAGCCACATCACATGCATTTACAGGATCCCAGGGCCACTAAAGGTCTCCTTGTTAACCATTTCCTGCCTGGACAATGCTTCTTTAGTTTCTCTGCCTGATGAATTATGCGAATCTGGAACATGATTCAGAAAATACCCTGGAAATTTTTCCAATATTACCACTGTTTTTTATCTAGTGAACATTTTTTTTTGTGTGACTGATATAAATCATATCTTTGTCTAACAAAACAGATTAAGAAAAAATTTGCTCCATTGCAATGTTCTTGGATCTCATGGAAATACCAAAGGACAGAAAATCAAATGCACTTTAGCTGTCTTTGAAGCGACCCTAAATGTTGAAGTCAAATTTATGTAACCCAAAAGCTGGCTTGTTCCTGTCCTGTGGGAGTTTTGGAAGGGGAGACTTCAATATGCGCTTGTTGCTACTCAACCCCTTCAGTGAAAACTTGGACCAAATTTCACTAAAAACTTCTCTTCTGAATTTAAGCTTTCATTTTCGAATCTAAATCAATATCAAATTTGCTAAAAAAATATCTTGAAAAAGAAGGGCTTACATCTATTTGAATTATTTTATTTTTTGGTGTATTTTAAAATCAAGGACACTTCATGTAAAAATACCTCTCCTGTTTGCACAATACTTTTGGTTGACTGGAGATGTTTACTGGTGCACACTGGACATCAGCTTCATGCTGAAAATGAGCTGTGGTTTGGAGAGTCAGGAATCCTTTGGATCCATTCAAGGTTAGCACCAAGAAGCAGTCCCACATTCTCGGAGACTTAGCTGTGAAACTACATTTATAAAGAATGTTGATGTGCTAGCCTCCACCCTGCACCCCAAATTTGCTTTTGTTTTTGTTTCTGAACTGTCCAATGAAAACCCTGTTGTTTCACAATCAGCTACATGAAAGGGCTTTTTTGTTTCTACACTGCTGGCAACCCCTGCCTCCCCACATTTGCATTGCATTTCGTTCTTACCTGACATTGGTCACACAGACAGTGGACTCCAGGCCGCTCTTCTCCATGCCGCTTTTCTCCATGTAAGCATAGATGTCCCCGTGGGCGAAGGCCACCAGCCACCACATGATAGCGAAGAGCAGCCAGCTGCAGAGGAAGGACATGGTGAAGATGACCAGCGTGTGACGCCACTTCAGGTCTACCAAGGTGGTGAAGATGTCCTGCAGGAAGCGACCCTGTTCACGGATGTTCTTGTGCGCCAGGTTGCAGGCTCCGCTCTTAGCAATGAAGCGGGCTTTGGGCAGGCGGTCGCGGATGCGCGGCTTGCGCAGGTTCTCCGCGGCGATGCGTGCCAGTACATACTCCTCCGGGATGATGCTCTTCCTGGCCAACATCTTCCTATCACCATAGCCTGTCTATACACCTGCCCGAACCTGACGATCCTTTTCTCCACACGCGTCCTCCTATACCAGAGAAACACTTATTAAAAACTGTCGACTTCATTTCCTCGCCTCGGGTCCTTGTTCATAGGGATGCTATTTCACACACACGGAGTGGCATGCAAAAAATACAAACCTAGCTAGCCTCCGGTCTGCAAACTCAGAGAAAACTTTTGATCGGAACCAGAGGAATTATTCCCTTCCCCATCTCCCCGAGCACTGTGGCTTCACATATGAAAATCTTAGAGCATTCTTTGCAAATACAGTCTTGAAAAAAATTCTGTCATTCACCGCACCTAGGGATTAGGGCAAGGATATGTGCACACGCCGCCATCAAAGAAGAGAATTAAAGCCAGCTGGGATTACCATCCACTTGTTTTTTAAGTAAAGTAGCGAGGTTAAATGTAAAGAAAGGTGGAATTCTTATTTTTAGTAGCAGCGAAAAAATTGTTTCCTGCTCATTAAGAAAATGTTAACCGTAATTGATAGGGTACCCGAGCGATGCTCTTTCTCGTACTTGAAGATTTAGTTTGAAGGATTTACGAGATGAATTTTAAAAAGCAATCTAGCCTCCTCTCCCCTCCCCTCTCTATGTACCTATCACACCACATACTGATAACTATTTGCGACACAGGGATCAGACACACAGCAGAGGGCTGCGATGGAGTTCCAGGGCGTGAGCCTGGCTGGCTGCATTTGGGCTGTGGCTTTGGAAGTCAAGGGCTGGCCTGCGACCGGCTTCCCCTAGTCTTCCCGGGAGGAGCGACGCAACTTACAGACTCAGGGCAGCGCGCGCGGCGGCGAGAGCTCCGCGCACCCCAGGGCGCAAGGCGGGAGGGTCCCTGGCTCTCACATCCCAGGAGCAGGGCCGCCACAGCGCCAGGGACAAATCCGGGGGATGCCGGTCCTCCAGAACTGAGTTAAGACTCTAGAAGGTGCTGTCCACTGTGCACGCGGGGAGGAGGGCTGGGGGGGACGAGGGGTGGGTCTCCCCCCTCCCTCCAACTGCTGCCGGGCTCCTGGAGGGCAGGGGAGGAGTTGGGGGCAGAGATGCCGGGGTTGTGTTCTGCTAGCTCCGGAGTCGCCTAGTTGGGGCCAGACCTCCGAGCGAAGCGGGCCAGGGAAGGTGGAGGAGGAGGCCAGTCTGGGGGAGGCAGGGAGCCGGCCAGGAGGGAGGGACCACCGGGGGAGGAGGCACCCGCTAAGCCAGATCGGTTCCCAGTAGCTGCGACTCTGCTGTCGGTCTGACACACACATCTTTAAAAGGCTAGCTGCTCAGAGAACTTTCCGAGTCCAAGTTCACTGACGCAAAGAGATTTTAATTTATTATTTTTTAATTGCAACTTTGGGACATCACTGGGTTGCTTCAGCTCGAATAAAAACAGATGGAGAGTGTTTAGGTGTTCTGGGTGGGGTGAGGTAGAGTGGGGTGGGGTGGGGTCCCTGCCCCGAGGGCACAGATCTCTCACATTAGAAGGGAGGGGGTGGGAGAGCTGCTCAAATCCTGTCTAATAAACTTCACGCGCGCGCGGAAGGAAAGAAGGAAGGAAGGAGGAAAGGAAGGAAGGAAGGAAGGAAGGAAGGAAGGAAGGAAGGAAGGAAGGAAGGAGAGGCTAAAAACCCCATCAGCGATCTCTTCCAATCAGTTTACAGTCTAGTGTCGCAGCTGCCAGCAAGGTACAGCCAGTGCTTGTGTTTCTGACTTGTGACACCTCCCTCGCCTGTGTAGATTGTCTGAAGGACTGATTATACAGTAGTTATCCTCCTATAGCTTTGAGAAGGAGCCAGGAGGGACACATTTGCTCTCTCCCGCAGGCCAAGCCTCTGGTTTTTGGCGTTTGTGTTAATGGAAACTTTAATTCTTGGAAATTTAATGTGTTTTCCCAGACTTGCGGGTCGAGAGTATATGAAGTATAAACAACTTGCTCATTTACTAGAAAATCCTAAAATTAGTCCTTAATGAAGGAAACTTATGACTTCCCCCATCTCCTGTTTTCCATTGTGGGTAGACCTGCTTAACCCCTTGAAAGGCTGGAGGGCCTGTCCCATCAGTGGCAATTCCTTCTGCTCCCTTCGGTTTTTGCTGTGGTGGCCTGATAGCAGCCATGTAGATATTAACATCAAAAACACTGGGCAGTCTTTTCCCCCAGAAGACAGGGTATCGTGTGTCCAAGCTGGCCTCGGACTTGCTGTATAGCCTACAATGACTTTGACTCTCAGATCCTGCTGCCTGTATTTTTGTCCGAGTGCTGAGGTCACAGGTGCACACCATCATGCCCGTTTTTGTTCTGTTTTGCTTTTCAGAGCTTGTGCATGCTACGCAAGCACTGTACCAAACGAGGTACAAAGAAGTACCTTCTTTCCTTTAGTGATTTCATTGACCTTTGAGACAGGATTTCACTGTGTAACCCAGGCTAGCTTGTAGTTCACTGCATAGCCTGGACAGGCCTGAAACTCAAGGCAATACTCCTGAGTCGACCTCTTGAGCGTAGGTGAAGTTTCTTTGTGTCTTGGCAGCTGCCCCCAAATAACCTCAAAGGGGCTTAATGTTAATTATAAATGCTTGGCCAATAAGTAGCTCAGGCTTGTTACGAGCTAACTTGTAGAACTTAAACTAACCCATTTACAATCGTCTATACTCTGCCACAGGTGTTACTTCTTCTGTCTTGTGCCTCCTGTTTCCTCTCTGTGTCTTGCCTCTTCTGACTCTGCCCTTCTTCTTCCCAGTGGCCATAGTCTGGTTTCCCCACCTAACCATATTGGCCAGTCAGCTTCTTTATTAATCACAGCGACACAAACTCACACAGTGTGAAGGTGAATTACACAACTGAGCGCTAAGATTAAAGAATCAATGTGCCATGCTTGGTTCCTAAACATCTAATATGTGTTTATATAGCTAGGAATATATAAATATATGCTGTTCTTAAGAGACACACAGCGGGAGCAGAGGAGTTGTGAAACTGATAAGAGTTGACCCAATCGAGGATGTGATTAAATAGAAAAGGAGGGTAAGAGCACTGGCTGCTCTTCCGGAGGACTTGGGTTCAGTTCCCAGCACCCAGCACATGGTAGCTCACAACTAACTGTAACTTCAGCTCCAGGAGATTCAATATCTACTTCACAACTGTACAAGTAGTACCTAGACATGCATGCAGACAAACACACACACACACACACACACACACACACACACACACACACACTTAAAATGTTAAATAAAGGGAAATATCAAAAGGTGCCATATGAATTCTGTACAAAGCAGTGAAGGCTAGAATACCAGGGGAGCATTCTTGGATTGTTTGGTATCCAGGCCAGTCTTTGAAAAAACTAGATCTGTTTGGAGTATATTGAAAAGCGGAAAAAAGACATTCCACAGGCACGCAGACCACCATGAAACGTGGGCAAGAGCCTTTGCATAGCGGAGGAAATTAATCTAGCCAGCAGCCAGGAAGCAGAGAGAGAATTTCCAAAGAGAATTAGCAGAGGAAGGAAGCATGGACACCATCCCACCAGTCGGGGTTCTACGCTGAGCAAAGAAAGGAGAAAGGAGCAAGTGAGCTGAGCACCAGCATCCACCTGCCCTACTTCCGGGCAGCAGATGCAGACTGACCAGATGCATCTCACCCCCGCCACCATGCCCGCCCCGCCCCGATGGACTATGTCTCCTAAACCGTATGCCCAGACAAACCCCTCTTCCCACATGACGCTCTTGCAGGGATTTCACCCCAGCAACAAGAAAAAAGAGCAATTAAAGGAGTGTCCCAAAGTTCTGACTCTCTAAAGAAATGAAGCTTGTCAGATGCTTGCAGGCGGTGGAGGGGTGACACCCGATGTCTTTGTCAACTGCCCGTTGCTGTGACTACCAAGGGAAGGTTGGTGGGGGCCCTGGAAAAGACTTCTGAGGCGGAGGGTGGGGTCTTTGTGTCTGAGGACTTTGCCTGTGGCTTGACTTGCGAATTTTCAACTCTTGGACTTCAGCATTTGGAAAGCCTTCCAGATGACAGCCAGGATGGTGGTCGGTGTATTTTCTCAGTCTAAACCACTTGGGAACGTATTGCTTTGGCATCAGCTCAATAAAGCATTACATAAACTAGTAATCAAAACATCATGTTACAAACTCACTTTCAGAGTGTTATCATCGATTGAGAATGGCACTATAACTCTTTATAGTATCCGTCTCAGTGCGTTCAGGAAACATTTCTTACACACATATGGTAAGAATTTCTCTTCTTATACTCAGGTCATTCATCTTGTCAAAGCTATCCATTAGAATTGCAAATGAAAAAGATTTACATTCAGCTACTATACCAACTCAGGAGGGAGTGCGCATCAGAAAGCCATAAGAGGCATGGATGATGACAACCGACACCTTGTATTTGCATCTAGGTGGATAAAACAAATACTCTGCTCCGGGAAGAGGAAACTGTAGTCTGTTAAGCACAAAAGGAATGGTTTATATAACTACGAACCATAAAAGTTTATGAACAATCAACCAGGGGCTGGGGAGACAGTTCAATCAGTACATGTTGGCCTAGCAAGTAAGAGGACCAGACAGAGTTCAAGCTCCAGAAAGTTTGCTGTGACAGAACATTTCTAATCTGAGCATTGGAGAGAAGCTCCCTGGGCCTGAAGCTCTCAGATGAGGATAGATTCGGCTGTGGAGGTTGGTGGGGGCCCTGGAAATGACTTCTGAGATGGAGGGTGGGGTCTTTGTGTCTGATGACTTTGCCTTTGACTTGATCACAAATTAAATTGTCTGTAATGAGAAGGTACACATTCTTCCAATAACATGCAACAAAACACTTTAATCCAGAGATGTGAGAAGTTTCCGTTTATGATGCAGGTGCTGTGGTTTGGATACAGTCTGAATGTGTCCTCCAAGAGTTCCCGGGCCAGCAACTTGGTCTCAGGTGTGGCATTGTGAGAGATGGGGAAGTACATTGTGCATTGTATGTGTGTGTGTGTGCTGTTTATATGCTGTGTGTGCGCACATATGTGTGTAGGTGCATATGTACATGTGTATGCCTGTGTGTGTAGGTTAGAAGTTAATTTCAGCTGTTGTTTCTCAGATTCAATTCACCTCATTTTTAAATATTAGTCTCTCATTGGTCTGGAGCTCACTGTAGACTAGCTGACTAGTGAACTCCAAGGTTCCTCCGGTCTCTGATTTGCCAGCACTAGGAATTCAATGCATGCCACCTGCCTGGCATTTCATCTGGGCACCCGGCCTCTGAACACAAGTCCCCAAACTGCCTGGCAGTTATATCAACTGAGTCATCTCTCAGGCCTCTGGAATGATGGGATTTTTAAGAGGTGGTCAAGTCCTGAAGGCATAGTCCTCAAAAGATAGCTACTGTTGGTAAATTTTCTCAAAGCCTTTATGAATATATATTCATTGTACAAAGAGATGGGTTTCATAAAGGCATATTTGCTCAAGTCTGTCTCTACTTTGCCCATATTCCCCTCTCTCTACATCCTGTCCTCTGTCTGAGAGAAAGGTCTAGATCTGTTTTCATTTCTCTCAGTATGGTGATCTCCACCCCCCTCCATTTTCTTACAAATGACACAGTGCCATTCTTTACAAAATTTTCATTACTATTCCACATTGTGTGTGGGTTGCCCACACATGCCACGGCATGTGTGTGGAAGTCAGAGGAGAGCTTCGGGGAGTCATCGGTCCTGTGGATTGAGCTCGGGCCATCAGGTTTGAGGACAAGTGCCTTTCCTGCTGAGCCACCCCATTGTACTGGTCTTCCCTCTTTATGACTGAATGAAACTTCATTTTGTACATGCTCTGCGTCCATTCTTCTGTTGACGGGCACCAAGGCTGGCCTTGAGGAGTAGGTTAGTTCCCAAGAGGGCAGGCTGTTCTGAATCTCTGGCTCCATGCCCATGTGATCTTGGGCATATGAAGTTCCCTTCCTTAAGGTCTTCTCTAGAGATCGGACTACAAGTATA